TATATATATATATATATATATATATATATATATATATAGTGAATAAAGATCATTTGTTTGTTAAATGCAGTTATTTTGATTTTTTTTAAAAATCCTATTTTTCTATGTGTATGAGGAATTAATTCACTGAGAGGAACAGGTTCATAAGCCTTTGTGGGACTTAAGGAACCCAACTGCACTCCATGCCTATATTGTGCCTGCATTTATATTAATATATTCTGTCCAATTATGTTTATATTGCAATTTATGGTAAATGCATTATTTATAGAGGTGTTTATCTTGGTAGGAAGACTGGCAAATAATAGATATATAGCAACATCAGAAGTTTTTAAAGACAAATATCTATGTTTTTCATTTACACAAAACACATCTATATTACACTACTTGAATTGCCACAATGTTTCCCCAAAATATACCAGAATTTGTAAATTGCTGTAGTGCTGATGCTTTTATTCTCATTTAAGACTTTCTTCAGGTAAGAGAACTATCTGTGCATGAATAATTATACACTAAATGACACTTATGATAAAGTTCTGAATAATACCTCCAGCTCTTGTTAACACTGCTGTTTTCTGCAGTTATTACACATTTAGTGCAGTGAACACGCAGTGTTTGGTGAGAGAAAACATAAATAAATGCAATTTGCATTATCATGATTCTAGCTTATATGGAAGCCTAACAATGTTGTGTGCATGTAAGTTTCCGTCATGCAAATTTGCTTAATGCTTCCAGGAGGACAATGTCATCTGAGTGACATTAAGAGTTAAAATATAATCTGCATTTTTGCTATACTGTAGTTGGATTTAATGTTTTTCAATGCTTGCATATTATTTTAAGAAACTTTTCATCCATCCTAGTTTTAAAAAGTATAGATAAATAAAGCCTATATGGCTATTGTAGAAGATGACCAGGCAGAACCCAAAAGTAGGGTCAAATACATCTTCAGTTTGCAGTCACTTACTACCACAAGAGACCTAAGTCCAGGCCATCTATGAATTCCAATAACTCTTTTCTACTACCAATTTCCCTTGACTGTTAAGTAAACCAGATTTGGTGTACAGGGAGCGTATAACAAACTTTTTAGTGGAATTAGAGTTCCTGGTTATTTGTGCCTGATATTTATATTGCATTAAATATCCTTAATTTCCTTTTCTCCCTTTCCCATTGTTTTCTTATTAAGCAGTGGTAATAATCCTATATTGGCGAGAAAGAATTTGTATTTCTATGGCTCTTTCCAGAGGTTAATAAAATTCTATAATTTCATAAAATAGTTGGAAAATGAAATATATTTAAATATTTAACAGACTCAATCAATAGACTTGTCTAGCCTTTAATATGAATCACTGTCCCTTCCATCCTTGGCTAGAGCCTCCTGGGGTAAACAAGGCTTTGTTCTTTGCCTGGCCTTGTTCTAGGAGTAGATAAGCAAAGCCTATTAAGGTTAAGATATGATAAACTACTTGCTCTTCGCATAAGAGAAAGCAGATATATATACAGGTGTGCATATTGTACATGATCAGGATGAGTCAGCAACAAAGAGATAATCCTATCTGAAATTTGGCTCTTGGTTTGCAATTAGTTTCATATATAAAGAAGATAAGACAAATACACCTGTGCATTTTCTCCAAAATGTGTTTCTTTCCAATATGTTTCTTTTAGGTTGCTTGAAAACCTAAAATGGATGCCACAGAATTTCGAAAAAGAGGAAAAGAGATGGTGGATTACATTGCAGATTACATTGAGAAGATAGAGGAGCGACAGGTCTATCCTGATGTAGAGCCAGGTTACTTAAGAGCCCTCATTCCAGAGTTTGCACCTGAAACACCTGAGAGATTTGAAGACATCCTTAAAGATGTTGAAAGGATAATTATGCCTGGGGTAATATTAATTAAGCAGTTTTGAAGATTTTATTTTTAATATTGATGACAAGAAAGTTAAGATAAGAGTGGAAGTCCAGCCTCCAATCTTGTGGGTTGGTTTCCAAATATTTTGTTACCAGGCTAGTAGCTGAATTTAGGGAATGTCAGTGTGATATTCTTCTGCTTATAAGGATTTTGTGTGGTTGTTAAGTCTTGTGATGGGAGAATCATGTCAGGGGATGGTCTAATGATGGGTCTTGTGGTGGATCAGGTGTGTGGGTCACATCAGGTGAAAGTCTTCTGATGGGTCAAGTGAGGATCTTGTGATGGCTCTTGAAATGGGGAGGTCACATCAGATGAGTGTCATTGGGAGATGAAGTTTTGGCTGGGGTTGTGTGTTGATTGCGGGTTTGTGATGTCATAATTGGTTGTACAATTTATTCGAATTCTCAGAGGTTTGTAGCCTGTTTGTAGATCAATGTGTCTGTAGATGGAATTGTTTGTGGAGTGCCAACCTTCAATAAACTCATAGGTGTGGTGGGTGATAGCATGGCCAATTATTTTTGTATTTTTCCAATTGAATTGGTGCTGTTGAGTCTCAGTATGGGTAGAGATTAAGAATTTGGGATCATGATTTTTACTACAACTGATGTTCATGGATCCTGGTTTTCAGTTGATATGAGAAATAGACAAAAGATTCCCATTCCTTGACATCAATATAAGACAAGACAACAGAAAACTGGAAACCCACATCTACCACAAACCCACATACATGGACCAGATCAGCTTTGCAGCACACAAAAAAGAAGCTGCATTCAGACCCTCTTCAGAAGGGCCAGGACATACTGCAGCCTTACAGCAGTAAGAAAAGCAGAGAGAAATGGCTGTTTGATGTCTTTCTCTGAAAAGGCTATCCAAAAAACTTTGTATTCTGCCACATAGTACCCAAACCACCACAAACCACACAGTCAACTACCACGCAAAAACTAAGCCTATCACACACAAAAGGGATGTCAGAAATGACAGCCAGAATTCTCCAAGCTCTAAGAATAACAATAGCCCACAAACCCACAGCCAATTATCTAGAACCAAAGACAAGATACAGAAGGATGAAAAAAACAATGTAATTTACAAAATCAACTGTAACAATTGAAAACAATTCTATGTGGGACAAACATCATGTTGATTGAAAACCAGGATCCATGATCATCAGATAGCAATCAAATGCAACAATCCCAAATCCCATTGAACAGCACCAATTTGATTAGAGTAATACAAGAATCATCAGCCATGCTAGCACCCACCATGCTCACAGGTTTATTGAAGTTTGGCACTCCACAAGCAATTCCATCAACAGACACAACAACTACAAGCTTACTATCTTAAGTTTGCAATAATGGCAAATATATGTAGCTCAGATAAAGAATGAGAGTGAAAGTCCAGTCTTGTGAGTTGATTTCCAAGTGTTTCATTACCAGGTTAGGGAACATTTGTTTTAGAAACTCAAAAGTTCAGTGCTTTATGTTAAGTGCCTGTAACATTGCAATCACTAGATATGTCAGTTAAAATGTTAGTAGAACTAGCTTCAAACAGCAATTGCCATATTTTTCAGAGTATAAGATGCACCTTTTCCCCTCAAAAATGAGGCTGAAAATCTGGGTGCATCTTATACACTGAATACAGCAATTTTTGCCTCCCGAAACCCCTCCCCATTCACCAAAACAGTGCATAGCTTTTAGGAGGCTTTCAGACTGCTCTTGGGGGCTGGGGAGGGCAGAAATGAGCAAAAAAATGCCCTTTTTTTCGTTCAATTTGCCCACCCCAGTGTCACTATATAAACCTCCTAAAGGCTATGCATGCCCTTTTTTGACAAAAAAACAGGCCCATTTTTGTGAAAAATAGGCAATTTTTTGCTCGTTTTTGCCCTCCACCCCCCAGGAGCACTCTACAAGCCTCCTAAAGGCTATTCATGCCTTTTTTGGAAAAAAAGGAGGCGCGTTTTCTGCAGAGTGCCAAAACTTTTTTTAAAAAAATTGCCTCTTCAAAACCTTGGTGTGTCTTTTACTCTGAAAAATACAGTATTATTATTGTGATAGCTTGTTTAGAGATATCAAAAAGTTACTGTCTGTGGTACAGAAAATCAAATGTATTTTTGCTCGGCAGACTTGATCTGAAACTGATTCAATTGAATCTCTGATTAAGTTGGAAAGTCATATAAAATATTTGAAACAGAAAGAACTATAAAGAACAATTGAAAAGATTCTAAACAACGAAAATAAATTTTTAGGAAATATTTTATTTACTAGGCATTGGCTTTAGTTTTCTCTGCAATATCCTTTTAGCAGATCTTTTTCTCTTTCATTGGGCAAACAACACAGATTTTCTATCTATCTATCTATCTATCTATCT